AGCTCGTTCAAAACGACTAACCAATGGAACTAATACAAGTATGAGCTTTTTTCTTCTTGAAATTCTCGAATTTTTGCTAATTAAGTAACGATATCATGCATTTTTTTCATCAGTAGAACATGTACCAGGTATTAAATTTAAAAATAGAGCCAGTACTGGATCAGTGCATTAATTTACAATGCTTCTGAAGGAGAGGCCACAGCGCGAAGATTATAAAATTAAAAATTAAAGTTCGCAAAAATTTAAAAAAAAATAAAAAAATGAAAAAAACTTAAAATAAGAATCAAAAGTTGGACTTAAAAATCAAAACTCAAAAAAGGATTTTTATTTAGATTAGCGAAGACAAGTATAAGTTAGGGGATAACATCCCTGGGCAGAATCACTCCACACCCCATAATTTTGAAAATAACGCATTGAAAAATGTTTTTTTAAGTTATGATTTTTGATTTTTAAGTCTAAGTTTTGACTTTTATTTTAAGTTTTTTTTCATTTTTTTATTTCTTTAAATTTCTTCAAAATTCAATTTTTGATTTTTTATTATCTCGATTTATACCGGTAGTCTTTGATTCCCAAACTTCATTCTTTAATTAGGGTTTTTTTAAGTTTATTTTCTGAGGAGTTTTTTCTTATTTTTCGAATAACAAAAAAAAATTTTGGAAATTACTGGGTACAAACTGGTGATATTCAGCTCAGGGCAATAGGGTGCTAACTGGTGATATTTAGTTTTGGATCGAAAGACCTCATATTGCCGCTTCCGACCTGTTGGTGCATCCCAGTAACAATACTAACATGAGATATCCATATTGATTGTTGGGGCTATCGAATGTTTATGCATAGAAATAAAAAATAATGCATTGAAAAATCTTTTTTTGAATTATGATTTTTGATTTTTAAGTCCAAGTTTTGATTTTTACTTTAAGTTTTTTTTTATTTTTTTTAAATCTTTTAAAAATTTAATTTTTGATTTTTTATTATCTTGATTTATACCCGTAGTTTTTGGTTTGCAAATTTCATTGTTTAATTAGGGTTTTTCAAAACTTATTTTCTGAAAAGTCTTTTTTATTTTTCGAATGACGAAAATAAAATTTTGAAAATTTCGTAGGTACAAACCGGTGATATTCAGCTCAGAGCAGTGGCTGCGAGCTAACTGTTGATATTTAGTTTTGGATCGAAAAACCTCATATTGCCGCTTCCGACCTGTTGGAGCATCCCAGTAACATCACTAACATGAGATATCCATACCGATTGTTGGGGCTGTCAGGAATGTTTGTGCATAGAAATAAAAATTTTGCGAAAATCTCATACTTACAGTAAATCCCCTCGGTTGCAGGCAGCAGCAATGAGGCTTCAGTGGCTATTCAGCCAATGAAAGATTTACGGGATGATGAGGTTGAAACACCTCGAGAAAATGCTTTTGGCAATGGATTTCAGGTATTT